CGACATTACATGGCACTTCCGACTAACTGTTCGCCACCCCAACCCCACCTACCAACCCCACCCACCCACCCACCCACCCACCCACCCACCCACCCACCCACCCACCCACACCCACCCACACCCACCGACCTGCCTATACCTACCAAATACATACATACGTCCAAGCTGCATGCACGTAAGCAGAAGCTGAAGCTCATCGCTCAGGCAAAGATGCTGCGTGCGAAGCAGGAAGGCACCGCCCGACTTTCAACCGCTGACGAGGATGCGGTACTCGAGCGCGACATGCCTCTTAGTCGCCCTTGGCCATTTTGCTTTTGGACTCCTCTTCCTAAAGTGCTCGAGGCGCTGACAGCATGTCTGCATGCCCCGTGCCATCTCCTGAGGCTGCTCTTTCTGGAACATCTGTTTCTTGTTCGTGCAGACGCGGTTCTGGTCAGCCCTGACCTCACGGATGCCAGTTGCCGGGATGTCGGGCAGTTCCGATTCCTACAGTGCAGTCCTACAGCTGAGGCACTGGCGATCTCGCTACCCTGCGCGCTTATCGCTGGTGGGCTCAAGCTGTACCAGAATTATGTTGAGACTTGGCAGCTTTTGCTCTGCACATCTACAGGACAGTTCTGCAGAGGTGTCGGACCCCGCCCTGCCTCTCCGCTCGTAGACGATGTTGCTTCCGACAACTGAGGATGAAGGGAAAATGTGACATGGATGCATGAAGACGGCATTCCCAGCTCACTGCCCCACAGCTTTGATTCGTGCTGTGTTCGCGAGGAATGGCGTCATCAATGACGACCAGGCCTACACCGGAATCGTGGTGCTCATCAGCTTTCTGATAGTTTTCCGCACCCAAACTGGCTACCAAAAGCACGCTCCTCAGAGCTCGCTTCATCAGAATGATCCAGCACCTCATCTCTCAGCTTGCGCAGTCGGATCAATTCCTGACAGATTGCAGTTCTACTACCTCCGGCAGACTAAGCTTTCTTCTCGTAAGAACCCTCTAGCATGCGACATCGCTGGTGTTGTTTGTAGCAGAGGTTCTGGGAAGGACACTCGGAAGCATTTTGCGGCTTCTGGAGCGCTTGTGCATGACTGCACGATCAAAGGGAGTGCCTCGGAACAAGCGGCCACGCGCTCACTGAGGGACTGATCTTGGATACCAGTTGGTGGGAGAGTCTTGTTCAGCAACAGACACCACATGTTCATGCTTGCTCCTCTGGAGTACTTAGCAGCCTTAGCAATGCAGCAGTTCCGCCCCACGGTTTTCGAGGATCTCTCTGACGGATGTAGCGACCTCATCGCCTACTGTGAAGGCTCCAAGTTGGAGGATGAGGAGGTTCAGGCAAGAGCCAGCAGAGATTGAAAAGAGTCTGCGATCTCCGGTCTTGGATTGTGTGCGTAGGCTTTTCAGCACCTCCTAATTCGTCAAGCCCTCAGCCTTTCTTTAGATTCTCGTTGGCAGTGCTGGTGCTCCCCTGCAGCCTCTGAGGTTTGGCTAGCCTTCTGTCTGCTGTGTGCTTTGCAGAGCTCATGGGTGGTGGCATAGCCTACGAAGGTTCCCCTCGGCTTGTTCCGGTGTAGTGCAGACATAGAGTTGCGGAACTTTGGCAGATCCGACGGTGCCGACTAAATTCATGGAGTATGAGATGGCCGCCTGCTTAGCCTTCTCTTGGCTGGGGAGCCCGGCGTTTGCCACCTCGCTGCCTTCAATGCGTGATCCATGAACCTTAGATCGACTTCGGCGGGCTGGATGATGACACTCGCCAGTTTATGCTCGATGGGCAAGGCACCTCTGCGGCCAGAAGGACAGCATCAGCTTGCATCTTTCCGTGCATCGAGGCAGCCCAGAGATCATCTATCAGTGGATTCAGATTGCGATATGTGCGCAGCCGAGTCGGCTTCGCGTGGAGCCTGAAGCGAAGTTTGCAGCCCAGCCGTGTTCACCAGGTCGGGCCAACAACATGGGCACTTTCGGCGTGCCACCGCCAGTGCTTACACGAGCATATCAAGATCTTGGTCTCTCCATGATCAGGTTCCACCAGGCCATCAAGTTTAAAGTGAGCACTTGTCGCCCAACAAAGGTAGCTCACCAACCCTGCGTGCTGCCAGGCACAGAAGATTGTGGAAGTCCCCTTCCCCTTGCCGTATGTGGTTGCAGCTCGGGTGCAGGGTGTGCAGGGCAGTCCACCATCTTCAGATACTTGCCCGCTCTCTACTGAGAACCTGCGGCCTCTTAAGACCAACAAAGCTGTAAAGTCCCCACAAGCCCTGCGGGTAGGCTGGCTGACCAGCACTTTAATATCAGAGAAGTTGGACACACAGAACACGCAGGTAGATCTTGTAGGAGACTGTCTCTAAGAACCCCCCCCATCCAGTAAAGAATAACGAGGGTTCACAAGGTTTTCAGGTATGTGGGTTTCTATCAACTCCATTGCCAAATCGGCGTTGGCACGTTCCTGCCGAGATCTTCTTCCTATGTCCTGGTCGCGCATCCAAAAACAAAGCCCTAAACCTATACCCTAAACCCTAAACCCTAAGCCCTAAACCCTAAACCCTGAACCCTGTAAACCCTAACACCCCCTTGCATGACCTCGCCGCCGAGGCCTTGCAGCTGCTGCTGATCACACACTGGGTGATGACGCCAATCGTGTGCAGCGGATGGACTGATTACACTGCTTGGGCAGCCTGCGAAAAATTGCAGTCACCCCTTTTGGGTAGTTGTTAAAATTATGGTCCCTTTTGGATTACCCTAAATAATAGGTGCCGTATTATAATAAGGACCCAAAAAGGGACCATAATTTTGACAACCACCCTTTTCGTTGTGCTATGAATATTAGCATCATGAAGCATGAAACAGACTGGGATTTGATCGAGGCTGTCATGTTCGCCCTCACGAACACGTTATCGCTGTGGTTCTTCGTTGGAGTCGCAATGGAGATGGACTCACCATTCAAACAAGCCATGTTTGGTATTGACTCGAAGGCTTTGCAGCGCCACCTGAACCATCGACTTATGGCACAGCTGCACACATTCGAGGGGCCACAGCCGTCTTTGAAGAAGACTTTTACCAAAGACCCTCAGCCTGTTGCTGCTTGGCTTTGACACTTCACTCCGAATTGTGGATGCAACAGGAGCTTCAGGAAGTCAAGCAAGCTACTGTACCGCGTGAATGCTTACCGTGCACGCAACCGAGACAGGCGTTGCCTACCATCCTTTCGACAGTGAGCTAAATAGTTCCGGATCCTAAGCCCAAGCCTTAACAGCGATCCCCAACCCTAAACCCTGTTCATCCCTGTTCCGTATGAGGTGATGACACCACAGGAAACCGGGCTCGAAGTCGGTCGAGTTCGGTCCAACTCCCGTCCTCCTATTGGTAACTATCGGCGGACCGGCTCCCTGCATGGAAACGCGCTGACGAATTTCTGCATGGATGGACCCTTGGAGTATGACGACCAGTCGGACGATGCAGCAAGCCCCCAAGATGTGAAGCTCTGCTTGCCAGATGAGAAAATCAGGCTGTGACCGGAAAAGCGGCACAAAACCTGCATGAGCAGCTGAGAAGCATCACGTTGTACCGTACTTGTTTACAGGCTTTATTCCCCCGAAGAAACACAGACACGAAGAAGTTTGCGAAAACGCCTTGCGGCAGTGCGCAAAGTCTGTGCAGAAAGCCCTCTGAATGTGCAGAGGCCCTGAACATAGTTTCACGCAGGCAAAGGGAGCCTCGCCAGCGGCGTAACAGCTTCTGTGCCAATACTGCTGAAATATTGAGTGGCTGCACAAGGTTCCGCTATGATCAAGCACAAATCGGACTGCGACGGTGGGCACGGCAGTTGCTACTGGCATAGCCGCATGCGGCTTCCATTTTCGAGACCCGGTATGTGATGGTCGCAAAGAAGTTTGGAACCCCAGCCAAGCTGGCGTTCTGCAATTCTGACCAGACCCGCAAATATGGTCAAAGAAACACAAGCAGCCAGTATCAGGTGTTGCTGTCGAAGTTCTTGCACGCGACATGGATGTCTTCCTGTGCAGGCGAAGCGGCCCAATTGCCATCAGCGTGCTGCATTCGCAGCTCTACTCGCCGCTTCTCGCTGGTGCCGCCATGGTCGCTGCGGTTCAGACCGAAGGCTGAGGAATCGAAGAAAAAAAGATACAAAAAGGGCTGTGGATACCTTCTATCGCTTTGTCAAGGCTGCGCAGCCTACGACGCGCCACAGCGGAGCAGGCGATTTTTTGTCACCGGCACCTTCGGGACGCTTCTGTGGCGTTTCGCAGACGAGGAGCCCGAAAAGTCGTTGGAAGAGAAGTTCAGCGACTTCACCACGGTGCTTCCCTGGCCGAGCACTGAGATGATCTGTGCTGCATGTCAGTGCAGAGGCTCTGCCATGCCATGCTTGTCCCCAATGCAGGTTCGGTTTTGCAGCCGATATCCAGCATCTCCATTCGAAAAGGCGAGAGCAAGTTCGAGAGGCACCGATTCAAGTAAGTGACTGCTGGAGGGTCAAATTCGTAGTCGATTCCGTGAAACTCGTGAAGGCATCCGCTGCACCTCAAATCGCTGCTGATGCCGCAGTTCTCAGTAAAGCGCTGCAAGGCGGGATTGCATGGAGAATTCACTCGGTTGCTGGCTCTTGATTTGACAGTGCATATCAGTTCACTAAAGCTCAATAGGTTGTACAGGGAGACGGAGTGGACGGTACAGCAGAGGCGCCATCGACGGGGGCAAATGCTCAGAAGAGATACCGGAGGCTGGATGCGTCCGGGTGAAGGTTTGAGAGTGGCTTCACAGACGCGGCAGTCAAAGGCCATTTGGCAAGACTGTTGAGAGAGACTTTCGATCCTTGGATCAGCCTGAAATGACACAGGTCGTTGAAGCTGCCCTGCGATTCTCGGAGTCTAAGAGCATCGAGACAAACCCGACGAAGGCAGGATAGTGTCCGCTTGGACATCGAAGCCTCTGACATTGTGCATCTCATAGCGACGCTTGGTGGAAGAAAGAGACGAGTTGTTCGGAAACCTGTTCGGGTCTGGTGGAGCTGTGTCATCCGGGTCTTCCGAGAGCCGCTATACACAAGAGCCAAAAGGCTGGCGCTTTCTTCGGTAGGGTGATACCGAGACTGACCATGGCAGGGCTGCATGCTTCAATCTAAGGTTAGAAGTATGGGCCCCTAGTAATAATATGGACCCTTAGGCCTTTCTAGGGACCCTTCAGGGTACATCTAGGGTATATAGTAGGTGTATAAGGATCCCAGGGTTAAGGGCCCATACTAGGGGCCCATGGTTTCAACCTTGGATTCAAAAATTGAAACTGGGAGCGGTTTCCTCGATCACCGCGAGGCAGGCCATGGCAGTTCTGAAGGGTGGGCGAAAGTGTCCAAACATGTTTCTTAGTCTTATCAAATTTTGGGGTTTAGGGGTTCAGGGGTTCAGGGGTTTAGGGTTTCATGAGAGCCCGTGGAGGCCATCGAGAGCATCGCTGGCCGATGGGAAGCTGTCCCGGTCTCAACTCATGGGTTCTCGTCCCGCCGACCCCGGGAAGCCTTTTGAAAGCTTTTTAGGGTTTAGGGTTTAGGGGTTGTGTTCTGCAACTTGTGCTGTTGGGAGAGGTCTTAGACTTGCTGTTCAGGACAAGATTCTGGTGGTGATGATGGGGTCTTGGTGATGCCCTGGCAAGTCTGACTTCGATTAAATTAACTAATCGGATAGATCATAGATAAGTGCGCACTCGCGAACTAGTGCAACATGTTTTTTCAGTATCGCATGTGCTGCGAGTGCCTTTTGTTCTTTTTTGTTGCTTTGCTCAGGTGTGGAGTGGCGCTTTCACTCCGTTGCAGAAGTGGGGGATCCCGCCCCAGTGTTTGTGGCTTGAGGCTGGACTGGGCGACGAATTCGGTGGGGGAAAGCTTGAAATAGATTGAAGATGTGCTCAGGTACTGCCAGGGGAGGGAGAGGAGGAGCCCGTAGTCGCCGCCCATAGTCCTGCCCTTGGTCCAGAAGGTGAGGTCTGCAGTTTGTTAGCATGACCCGGCGAGGGCCCATGGTGCAAGTGCTTTTCTAGGGTGAAAAAAGCTGGGTCAACGTCATGCTTGAGCTTTCGCCGGCAGCTCTTTTTCACCCAGGTGGCTTGCCTTTGGCTCTCTTCGGTGCCTACCTGTGGACATCATGCGCTGGAGATTTAGTTTCGGCGGCATCTTGCCAAATCTTGGCACAGATGGAAGTCGGGCAGAGTACTGGTTAGGAAACTGTTAGGAAGGGTGCCTTGTTGGCTGGTGGCCCTTGCTGAACCGTGAAGGAACCCACGGCAGAGGGCTCCAGCCAGGCAGAGCCGAGCGGAGAGCTTCGAGTGCTGTGTTACTGTCGGCAAGATTCAGCAGTCTTCTGTCATTCTGATTATGTACATGTTATCAGCTTCATCGTTGCGGTCATGGAGTTGTTATCAGCGCTTTAGCTGATTATCTGCAGCCAGCTTGAGAGCCCTGTTGTCCCACAGGTTCTCATCCAGTTCACCCGACACCTTGCTGCATGTAAGGCTACCAAATTTGGGGCATCAGTGTGATAGTGTGGGTGATGAGTGTGCGAAAGGAAAAATCTCCCTGACACTAATGGTAGGGTAAGGTACCCCATGAAGCGCCAGTTTTCGGTCTGCTAATGGTCAATCGGGCTAGTCCAACACTACGCATAAAAAGCGCTGCTCGTCTGGAACTACGAGTAGCAGTAGGCAGGGTATAGGAGTGGGAGAAAGGGTAGGAGCAGGAGTAGTAGGACGAGTAGCAGAAGTAGTAAGAGTAGGAGTAGCGGTAGGGGTAGGAGTAGGAGTAGGAGTAGGAGTACGACGAGGAGGAGGAGTAGTAGTAGGGTGGTCGTTGTCGTAGTCGTAGCGGCCCTGGCAGTGGCAGTGGCAGTGGTCCTGGTGGTGCTGGTGGTAGTGTAGTATCAGCAACAGGTGGAGCATGAGGAGCTTGTCAAAGCTTTCAATTTTCGAACTGCTCAGTGGAAGTCGACGAGGCTCCGTGCACTGCAAAGAACGGTTGATGGACAAAATCCTGCATAACCTTATATACCTAAACTATGGGATTTATGGTACTATACTATGTTTGGGTCATGCAGAATTTTGTCCATCAACAGAATGGCTGAGCCTAAGGATACTGGATCGACATCGGACCGAAACCGCGGCCAGCTATCTGGTCGCACCAAATCAGACTGCTTGATCACGGTTCGTTGTAAGCAGAAATGATTGTTTCGTATATATATATATAATGTATATATGATATAATATATAACATATAATATATATATATATAGCAGGCTTTAGCATCCGAGCAGCACCTGAAGAACCCCGGTCGGCTTGGTCACTCTGGTCAAGCTTGACGATGCTGTCTGGAGGGTGGCGGGGCGGGGTGGTCATGACTTTTGGAGGTGAGCTTGAAGACCTCTGCACGCGACGGCTGTCCTTAGTATGAGTGAGGGCTATAGCCGGTCACATGCGACATCCAATACAGGTTTGATTTGCGCCATCATGAACTGGCTCCCGTCCTAGTGCCGTGCCACGACCCCGTCATCGAAGCTTCAATTCGTTGTTGTTTGTGGTTGCGAAGGGTGCAGAACGTGCTGCGAGAGTCCGAGCCCCCAGCGTTTTCCCCACCCGGATTTCCGTCCTGCCGGATTGGGGCCTTCTCTGCGCGCAGCACAGAGGTGATCAGATCAGAATGCCCCCTCCGTGTAGCACTGCAAGACTAGTACTAGGCTAAGTTGTTTTTTTACTGGCTTTGGATGCTTGAACCCTTAAATACCCCTTATATAGTCTCCTATAGCCCCTATATAATTTCAAGGGTCCCTTTAAGGGTCCCAGGATATTGGCCGCATCGATGGTGGTTTCATCACCAGCCGCCTTGCAGCCTTCGGGGCAGCTTTAGTCACTCCCGTGCTCTTGGAGTTTGGTGCGCTGAAGTGGGTCCTCGAGCGTTTCTTGGCGGCTCTCAAAAAAGTTTGCCCGGCGCAGTATAGGCTATGAGGGGCATGAATAAGTAGCGTAGGGTGTTTTGGGGTATCTCCAGTAAAGTTATACCGGGCCCTGTAAAGGTAAGAAGCTACGTAATCTGTAGGCCCCCCCCAAAGAAAAGAGGCCGAAACCCTGCGCAGGTTTCGGCCTGGAGCGAGTCTTCGAAGTCGAAGTCCCGAGCCCGGAGGGCGGTGACCAGAAGGTCAAGCTACAGGCCTCCCTCGCCACCTGGCGAAGAGGGGCCCCATAGTCGGGTTTAGGGTTTAGGGTTTAGTGTATAAGGATCCCAGGGTTAAGGGCCCATACTAGTCGTATGGGCCCTTAACCCTGGGATCCTTATACACCTACCATATAATTACCCTATATGTACCCTTAAGGGTCCCTAGAAAGGCCTAAGCCTCCCTCGATCCCTGGCGAAGAGAAGCTGGAGCTTTAACAAAAATGCGGGCTCACCCTCAAACCCCAAGAACCTAAACCCTAAACCATGAACTTCCGTGTGCGCCTAATACAAATGCGGCTAACCCTAAAACCCCAAGAAGGGCCCTACGCCCTAAACTTCCGGCTTCCGTGTCATCGCACTCACATCCCAGGAGCTCTACTTGACCCTGCTGGCCAGGGTGGCGTTTCCTGACAGCCTCTCCAAGTGCCCCATACCCTTCTTGGACACTGAAGCGGGCCTCTGCGTCTACGAGGCTGAGCCCCGCGGAGCCCAGTTGCATCCTGGTATTAGTCTCGTAGGTGAAGCGACAAAATTTCAAGCGCAGCTATCGACAGCATGGACTTCGAGTGTAGCTATAAGTGACAAGTACAGACAGCAGAATCTCATGAAAGCACCCTGGCAGATCCCCATGCTGGGGCCCATTGGCGATCTGCCCGATTGGTTGCACCCCGGGGGCAACTCGGCGGCGCTGGTCGCGCGCCGCCTGAAGCCTGGCGAAGAGCCGGCATTGATGCGGCGCTGATCCAACAGCTTAGCTGGTAATGTAGGGGTCTAAATAATTACCAATACTATTTTGGGGGGTTCCTTATTAGAAATATAGTATAATATGGGCCCCAAAACCCTATTCTAATTATTAAGGCCCCTATAGTGCAAGTTTCATGTCTCGTGAGCTCCGGCAAGCCGAGCATCGCAAGAAGCGGTGCATCGAGAATCGATTTTCATTAGCAGATCTGGACACAGAATCAGGGGTTCTGTCGGCTGCGGTGCAGCAGCGTTTGACCATGTTGATGTTCTATGTTGGCACCCCGCCTGTCATTGTCTGCAGGCGACACGATGGGAATCGTTCCAACAGAGACGAAGCAGGGATATTTGAGTTTGGCGCTCGGCCAACTTCGGGTACCGCTCTGTTGCGCTAGTAAGACATCATGGATGCAGTCTTTGCTAGATTTCTGCGCCGGGAAGATTTTTCGAGCCCAGGTCAAGATGCGCTGCCATTCAGGACCACCTCAAAAAGGCCATTCGTATCAGCTCGTTGCTTGGACGTCCGAGTACATGGCGGCCTGATGGCCTGGCATTTGCAGGTGCATGGCGCTGCTGTAGACATGCATGATGCTGCAGCCCTTCTGAACTTCAGAGGACCCAGGACGGGCCGCCGGCTTGCGGCAGAGGCGATTCCGACATCCACCGATTCTGACTTCTTGACGTCAGGACTCCCGAGCAAGGTGAGAAGCTCCTGCAAGTGCTGGAGGATGTCGAGCGTTACTTGGCAGCACAGGCTTAGCACTGAGCCCCTGCTCATGCTCGCAGCAGTCCCGGCATGCCACCGGTGCTGCAGGCTTTGTCTTTGCCAACGTGATCAGGCTCACCTGTACTCGGGGCCGTTCCTGCACACCTCTTCTTTCTGTCTCTTTTTTCACTGCTCTTCTAATGCGCTCGGAGTAATGCAGGCCAGAACCTGCTTCCCGCACGGAGTTCTGGCACGACTTTGTTGAAGGACGCGAAGCCGTAGACTCAGCTGAGTTGAGCTTTCTGTCGACACCAGGCTGTAGTGGTTCAATGCGATTCAACTGCATGTTGCATCATGTTGCTACGTGTGTTCTCGCAGAGGTGGCGCTGGAGCGCGCTATTGTTGCACTGCGCCAGCGGTTCAAGGCGGGAACCATGAGTTGCTTTCTTGCCAGTGCTGCTATCATCCAAGTAGTCTGTATGCTACTAGTGGCATTGTGGACGAGCAAGTTCTCCTAGGACCTTCCGGCACTTCCCAGAAACTGAGACCCGTGCAGGCTCTGCACAACGAGGTGTCGCAAGTCATCACCTCCGCACCTCGGCTGAAAAGTTTGGGGTGTTCCTATCGTCCCGTGCCCTGACGAGTGCCTCTGCCCTCAGGCGCACACAAACATGCACATGTTTCGTCAGGTTCCAGACAACTCTCCTCGACAGCACCGCTCGCGAACACCACCGCGCTGAGGATGTCCATGTTCGCTCGCATCGATGATGCAGCAAACACTTATGGCCTAATCCTGGCAGGTAGTGCGGCCAAACTCAATTGCAGACTGCCTGCATTATGCGTTAGCGGAGATCAGCTGCAAAGAAGGAAAAGCGTAGCTACGGGCTACTTGTAAGCGCAAACATCTGGGCAGCGACGGACAGCGGTGTGGTTTTGAAAGCGGCTCTGGAAAGACTGGAGATCAAGGTATATATAGGTTGCATGTCTGGAAGTGTAGTTAGGAGGTTTTGCATGGCTGATAGCTGTGCGCGGTAGTAGTGATCTTAACTCAATGCTCTTGAATTGCAGTCGAGACCCCAAGTTTTTGGGACGAATCGCGATTCATTCCAAGATGTCGTCGGCTTTCAGGCTGTGGAAGTCCTTGTCAACAACATAAAGCCCCGATTTGCCGGGTTTGGGGCATCGGCATTTCTTCGAAAGGGCTCGGAAGTGAAGCTCGTGAGCCCACGTTTGCTCAGAACAGCTGGTCCGACGAGTGGCCTCTTAGTCCATAGACACCTGGGCTCCCTCCGTAGAGCGGGAGCGGCTGATGCCTGTGCCCGGCTGCGGTCTACTGCAACCAAATGGCCGCCATTGACCAGTCGGTGGGAGCCAGGCGCCTCTAGCGAAATCGCCGTAATGTAGGAACCTGATTAAGAAACCCTGGCCCCATAACCCCAAACTAATAGGATTCATATGAAGAACCCTAATACGGACCCAGGGTTTCTTAATCAGGTTCCTACATTAGATGTGATCGGGATCGAAGGAACATGTGGGGCGCCTTCACCACTAAAATTGGGAAGATGGGAGTGTCCCTGAGGTTCAACAGCTTCGGGCTGGTGATTCCGGAGGCCCTTCGGCCACGGATCTCTCCTTATCCTTTCTTGGGTCTTGCACGTAAAGTCGCGAAGGCTCTATCTTGCAACTCATCGGCCCATTGGTCCTCGTACAGATTGGCCGTGGAGCTGCATCCTTACAGGGTTTACCTGTAGCCGCAAAAACCTACCTTTTTAGGGTTCCCTGTTATGGTTTCCATATATAAGTCCTGAAAAAGGGAGGTTTCTTGGGCCACAGGTAGGGTTTAGAGGGCATCAGCGTGACGAAGTCGCTCGGGGTCACATGTGAAGCAGTCTCGAACTTGTGATTCCAGGTCTTCCGTCGAGGAAGGATCTTTTCCAAAGGAGCTTGCTCACTCTGCAGGGAACGCATGCGATAGGGAAAGCTCGCTGCTACTGTCATACGATCATTAGTTCATTGCTGCTGTTACCAAATTTCTTACGATTATTATTTATCATTATCAGAATATTCAAAACCCTAAACCCTAAACTGTCATTACCCTAAATTTCAAAACCCTAAACCCTAAATTACCATTACCATAATACCCGAAACCCTAAACCCCTAAATTATCATTACCATAATACCCGAAACCCTAAACCCCTAAATTATCATTACCATAATGCCCTAAACCCTAAACCCTGAACCACCATACCCTAAACCCTAAACCCTGAACCCTGAACCACCATACCCTAAACCCTAAACCCTAAACCCTGGCTTAAATTCGCCCCAGGAGCCCTATGACGAGTCGGTTTCGGTGTTTCAGAGCTGGGCCAGCCTTTGGCCCAGAACCTGTCAGGGTTTCATAAATTCAGGATTTAGGGTTTTAAAAGTTCAGGATTTAGGGTTTCAAAAATTCAGGATTTAGGGTTTTAGGGTTTCGGGGTTTAGGGGTTTAGGGTTTTAGGGTTTAGGGTTTTAGGGTTTAGGGGTTTAGGGTTTAGGGTTTTGGGGTTTAGGGGTTTAGGGTTTAAAAGAAGGGTGCCAGAAAAGTTCCTAAACTGTTCCATATGAGGGTTCTTTTTATGCAGAAGCCTTAACGGAACCCTCAAAGGAGCCCCTGAGGGTGACCATAATGGGAGAAGGGTAGCGACGAGGGTTTTATCTGGGAGTTTCCGAAAATTGGGGTACCTTGTTTTGGGGTCCTTATAATAAGGATCCTACTATTTAAGGGTACTATATTAGGGTCCCCTATTTTCGGAAACCCCCATCTGGGGGTTCCTACAACCCCCTCTGACTTCTTAGGCCTTGGCCGCGGCCCGACAGATGAGCTTCGAAGCTTCGGCAAACAGCTGCAGGACAGCGGGTGCAAGGGGCCGGGAACTCCTTCAGGGCGAACGAAACTCGGAAAGCAACCGCGGTTTAGGGTTTCGGTGGGTATACGAGCTACAAGATGATGCCCGTGTGCCATGTCGCAGAAGGTGTGGTGTGCTGGACTGAGCGTTGCTACTCTCTTTGCCTTTACATTGTCAGATGCCGGTCATACGAGGAATCCCTCTGTCACCATATGTGCTTTGTTGATGAACTGTTCATACAACTCATAGCTGCACAGGTGCACTTACATGCCATATGAAATTATAGTTATCTCTGTGTCTATCTATCCACCTATCTACCTATCTACCTGTCTATCTATCTATCTAATCTTTTTTCTATCTGTCTATCTATCTGTCTATCTATCTGTCTATCTATCTATGTATCTATCTAGCTTTCTGTCTATTTATCTGTGTGTCTGTCGCCCTATCTCTAGAGTACAAACGTGTGTGAGCTTGTGTGTGAGAAAGAGACAGACAGAGAGAGAGAGAGAGAGAGAGAGTAGCCATTTTGGCTCAAGCCACGAGTGCTCAAGAGATCAGCCCAGTGACCGGATCTCCAAACCAGAGATAGGGGGAGCTTAGCAAAACAAAGCTGCTACCAGGCCCGTGCCTTGCAGCCGCCTTGCTGCAATATACCACATCGGCAAGTTCGATTGTACTACACGCCTTCTTCGCGGGGGTTGCTGTCGGGGAAGTCGGTAAGAACGGTCCCCAACGTGAACCGCTGCCCCCCCGGGCGTGTGAAGGACTCTCTGACCAGCTACAGGTACGGCTTGGCGGCCTACTTGCAAAGAACCCGTACGGGGGGATCCAGGACATTGCCCTGGGGTCCAAAAGTACCAGCAGGTTGTGCCGGTTGTGCAACGTGATTCTTTTTCGACGTCATCAAGAATGCATACCTTGGGGAACAACGTGCCACAGGACGGGGGGAATGCGGGACCACCTGCAAGTTCAAGCCCGCCCAAAAGACTCAGAGAGGGCGGGGCTGGACCCGCTGATGACGATGGAGATAGGGTTACCATGGCCTCCATCCGTGAAGCCATCAGAGAACAACTACGAGAAGAACGACACATCCTATCCGGGGAACTACGAGAGGGGCTGGCAGAGGTACACAACCGCATTGACACAGTCGAAAAATGCACTACAGCCCTATGCAAAACCGTCACAGATCAACAAGTGCGACTTGACTCCAAGGTGGACAGCATCGAGCAACACGCCCACGACTTAGGGACACGACTGGAGCTGCTCGAGGGGAAGTTCGCCACGGCACAATTCAGTGTCAACAGCAGCACACGGGGGTCGGAAGGATCCTCTGCCGAGCCGACTCGCCCCGCCCTTGTTTTAGGGGGATGGGCAGCCGAACAGGCTGCATCCGAGACACTGCGACTCGTCAAGCAACATGTAGCACAACTCGAGCTCGACCTCGACATGGACGAGGCCTTCGTGCCCGGACTCAGGCGCGGCTTTGCAATACTCCCACTGCAGGCCCGCCAAGGGGAAACTCAAATGCAGCTCCGAGGGCGAATCCAGACAGCGCTGTCAGCCATCCGGGAAGCAAAGATCATCACGGGACCCCGGCCAGAAGGGGGAAACCGCCATTTCTTTGCTGCAATGAGCCAACCTCTGGAGCGGCGACGTCGAGCACAGTTTGCAGGAAAAGTCAAGCGATTGGTGCTCGAGGCAGGGCGACGACATTCAGCTCTCGAGGTAGAGTTTGGAACAGCCAACGTCTGGTACAATGCGGTGAAGATAGCATCGGGGGTTACGACCGCGCCAGAGGGGCCTTTATCAGCAACAGGGGGATGGATCAATCTCCCTCCATTAGCTCGGCAGCTTGGCACTTCGGGGGCTGCCCTTGAGGAGGCCTGGAAAGAGCTCCGAAAGGGGCTCAACTGAGAGCTCAACCACAACGACTACTTGTTTCACACACAGGGGAATGCTCCCTCAGAGGTGTCCTTCCTCAGTTGGAACGTCGGTGGCCTTCAACCTGCAAAAGCACTACGAATGCTATCGTCGCTTCGACAAGCTCGAATTCATCCCTTTTGCGGCAGCTTTCTGATACTTCTCCAAGAGATGATCATAGAACCGGGAAAACACTTTGCTGAACAGGACGATCTACAACTCTTTGCTGGCAAACTGAATGCGGAATGGCGGGGGACAGGCATAGCGCACAGCGACGACATTACCAGGTCTAGCTGTAAAACGTCCGCATGCACTACGTCTTGTACAATTCACATTGGTTGCATCAGCATGATTGCCATGTCCATGCACATCCCTCACCACGCAAGCCTCGCTGAAGCCGGAGAAATTCTGGAAGGTGCTGAACAACAGCTCCGAAGGAAGCACAAAGGGCTGCTGGGAATGGACGCTAATGAAACCTTTGTGATCCGGGGGGAGGACGGCGTCGGCGTCGGCTCCGAGACAGGCCGCGGCGAGATGATCCTAGGATGGCTCGAACGCCTACAACTTATCATCGCCGTGGACAACATCGACAAGCCGAGCTACTACCCATACAACCACCGCTTCCAACCGCGTCGTCTCGACTACATTGCTCTTCGACACCTTCCAGCCGAGTCGGGGGATGTCCTCGCACAGAGGGACGTCGCAAGCTCCGACCACGAACCCGTCTTCGTCAGAGCTACGATCAAAACAACCAGGCGCGACTACTCGACCAGAGCCCCTGAATGGGGGAGCCGACGATTGCGTGGACCCACGGTGGTTAAGCAGATCCTGGAAGCTCCCGTGACGTCGGGAGACCCTTTAGCAGCTCTGGCAAGGACGGCCGTCGCTATCACGGTTCCGGGGAAAGTCCTACCTCATTTCCAAGAAAGCAA